ACATAAATAATACCTACTAGTCGACACTAGTCGACGGACGACTACTCCTCCTCCTCGTACTAGTACTAACGACGTCTCTACTACTCTCCTCGTCGTCTCTCTCTCTCTCTCTTCTCTCTCTCTCTCTCTCTCTCTCTCTCTCTCTCTCTATCTCGATCACTCTGCACTGATTTTGTTTAGCCCCTTTCACTCTCTCTTCTTGGATTTATTTTTCTCTTTCTACAAAACTGGTTTTGTTAACCACTGATTCCTGTTGTTTCTGCACCATTCTTGTTCTCTAATGTTCTTTCTCACTCATCAATTTGAAGCTCTGTATTGTTCTAGTTTACTTTACTCAGTTTTTTGCTATCCATGGTTAACTTCATGCATTTTGCGTAATTCTACTTGATATTTGCATATTTTATTTAAGTTAGTACGAATTGAAGTTATCTTGCTCTGCATTTTGAGATTTTACACCATTTTTTTTTATTTGTAGCTTAATTTTTCTAAAAAATGCCATTTTGGGGGCATTTCCTTTGTCTCTTCTTATCTACATACTTTGGGGTTCTTGCCTCTTAATTGTTGGTATTTTCTCAATTCAGAAAGACAATGTAACCTGAGAATGTATGTGTCATTAAAGTTTGCTGTCTAAGAGTAGAAAATGGACCATATTTCAACGCAATGTAGAAGAAAAGACACCATATAGTGTCTGATATTGGGCTAATTCTTCAAGGGAAGATTATGAAAGGAAAGGATGGACACTATAATAAGTTTTCTCAATTGAATGAATCTTAACAAATCTATTCAAAAAATGGATTCTTGGTGCCAACTATTCGTAACAAGAAACCATTACTTGTCAATAAGTATCTTCTAATTATGTGAACATGGGGCTAATTGCATAGCAAATTTATTTATTTTTAGTTAGTCTATTTATCCCAGCATTTAAGAAATTCCAATTCTCTGAGTTTGATGAATAATTACTGAAAACTAGTTTGGCAATGGTTAATACAACTATGGACCAACAAATTGCATGTTTATCTGTGGAAATAGTTTTGAGAAATCTTTCTTCCTTGTTTTATAGAAGGTACAACTTCGCATGGGGATAGGATCCAGGACGGAAAGAATTCATCTCGTTATCTGAAGGTGGGTGAAATGCTTTTCTTGTCTTAGAAGTTTATATGATGATTGTTATTTCTTTTTTCTGAGACTTTTCCATTAGTCTTCATTTAAAATGCATTTTTTTGGCCATTTGGAGTTCTATTATTGTTTACAGCTTGAAATCGAGAGGATTTCAAATATGAGATCCCCTAGTCTATCGCCTCAAAACTGGTTAATTTAAAATTCAATAGAGATTGCGTGGACGACGATCAAATTATGATTTAAAGTCTAATTAACCAGAGTAGGCCAATTCTGATTTAAATCGCTGGCAGTGCCGACTTGATTTTTTGGGCCAAAAATAGAAGAATTTCTGCAAATTAAATCCAACTAAAATAAACATAATTAACTAGAAATTTGGCCCAGGACGCCTGAATTGGAAGATATTGCCTATATCAGGATAATTCGTTGTTTACATCAGTTGCTTTCATTTCTCTTTTGAACTTGGTTGAATTCCCTCTGGGATTTGTTGGAAATATTGGCTATGGATGATTAAGAGGTTAAAATTGAATCTAGGGTTTTGTAGCTTAGATCTAGGATCTTGGCTTCTAGGATCTACGGTTTGAAGGCTAAAGCTCTAGGCTAAGTTAAGAAGATCTAGGATAGGGCTTTAGTATCTGGAATTTGGTTTAGAAAACTAGAGTTTAAGGCTCTATAGGGTTAGGCTTTCTAAATTCTAGGGGTTCCATTGAAAGTTAGGTCTCTAGATCTAAAATTACGTGTGTTCCCAGAATTACCCGAAATAGAATCCTTATATAGGCTTCAACAGTCTAAATCGGTTGCGAATTATTCCTACTGGATTCCTACAAAAATTTGAGTTGATTGGTTAAACAGGTTTAGACACCATGATATGTGGCCGTTTGGGCAAATACTGGACCAAACGTCACAGTACATGGCATCTAGGATTCTAGGAATTCAGCCACAGAATTTTTGAGATTCGAGGTTTAAACACCATGGTACATGGAATTAAGGGTTTTCTGGTCCAGACGCCACAACCGCAGCTTCTAGGGTTCTTAGGTATGTGAGAGATGATTTTTTGGAATTTCACGGATCCAAGACTTAGGTGCTACTTATTGTGGCATTTTAGGCTTTCTGGTGTGCACCACACACTGTGGTGAGACCATGACCGGCTAATTTTTAGGGATTTCATTGATAATCTTGATTTTGATTCAAATTCTATCTTTTCTTGATCGAACTTATCCCGAAAACTTCTATCCTAGGTCTTTTTTTCTATTTCCTAGGATTTAAAGATAACTTTCTAGATTTAGGAGGATTTCCTAGGGTTTTAGGATTTATTAGGAGATTCTCTAGGGTATTTCTAGAAGGTCAGGATCATGGTAAGTTACTAGACTAAAAGAAAAAGGTGATCTAGGGTGCATTAGGTTAATATGGTCCCTAGAGATCTACTAGCCAATTTCTCGGCATTTTTAGGGATTTAAAAATTAGGGAAAATAGAGAAAAAATAGCCAATTTTAAAATGGGGTGTCTACAATTATGCTTGTATATTTCTTGTTGGTTGTTTGTGAAACAGTTGTTTTATATCCTTAACACCTGATAATGATTTACCTATTCCTTACCCTTGATGAAATTCTCAAATTATCTCAATTACTAATAACGTGGTTTCTGATCAGATTGGCACAAAGTTGAGTGGGTTTTGTGGTACTGCAATCATTCATCACACTCGCCGCCTCACTCAAGGATCTCATTCCAGTGGTAAGAAACCTTATGTAGATTCTAGAGTCCTAGAATCCTTAGATGTTAAGTGCATTAACGGATCTCTTAGAACTACTCCGATATCACCATACATACTAAAAACTTAGTTTTTTTCAAAAATTAGAATATAAAGCCTAATGAAAGCACTTCCCTTGTGGTCTGGTCTTCATATATATGTTTGTTTTATTCTATTGTGTGTGCTAGTACATACTCTTGATTGAAGGGTTTCCATTCTCTCCCTTGAACATTTTCTAATCTTCTTCTGCCATTTTCATTTAGTTTTTTGTTGTAACGAATGTTGGGTAAGATTGTATTTTATTCATCCAAAATAAGGAATTGAATATCTAACTACAAGTACATGCCAAATTGACCAAATCAATCCTTACCGTACATCATATATTGTTAAGTTTTATTTCTTTACTGTTCTTTTATGTTTTAATGCAGTTATTAAGATGGCAGTAACTAGTGATGAGACAGACATACATGTGACTCTCAAGGGAACAGGGTTACGTGGGAATCTTAATAAAGTGGTTTTAGCCTACAGCGGTGGCTTGGACACTTCAGTTATTGTGCCGTGGCTGAGGTTTATTTTTTGTTGATTTGGCCATAACTGAGTTAAAAATGTACAATTTTGTAGCCATTTTTTATTGGGTTTACTCAATTTTAAGAAATAGGTGCATATTTCCATATTTCCTCTAACTTACAAGTGACTGATAGGCATAAGGTTTGCATTGGATTTGTAGGATTCAGATTATAGATGTTCATTAATTTGACTCTTATTTATACTATTTTTAATTAATTTAACTTGTTGATGTTGACATGGCGAATTTGTCTTACTTAACTAAAATCTGCTGCTTTTCTGTGATGTTCTGCAGGGAGAACTATGGTTGTGATGTAGTATGCTTCACTGCAGATGTTGGGCAGGTGTGTACTGTTAAGTATGGAGATAGCTTTTGCATTTTGCTCTATCTTTGTTGTGATTCTTTTTTGGACATTCTTTTAGTTAGTTTTTCCGAAACTTCATTGATGCAAAAGTTGATATTTAATGACAATATCCCTTACAATCTCTCCAAAAAAAAATGATAATATCTCTTAATAGAACATATTTTGATGCTATGATGGGTCAAACTAATGTGGCCTTGGTATTGAATGGATTTGATTTCAAAGTGTTTATACATGTGTTGTCTTCTGTATAAAGACACTGGTGAAGCATTTATTCTTATGTACATACCTACTACCGTAATCAGTTTTACTTTCTTCTTTTCCTTTGTGTTATGAATGCATTTTATGAGTAGTTCTTAGGGGAATGCGGATTTACTAATTGCTAAAATATTATTTGAAGGGTATACAAGAGCTGGAGGGTCTGGAGGCAAAGGCTAAATCAAGTGGTGCAAGTCAGTTAGTTGTAAGGGATTTAAAAGAGGAGTTTGTGAAGGACTTTATATTTCCTTGTTTGCGTGCCGGTGCCATTTATGAAAGAAAGTACTTGCTAGGTACTTCAATGGCACGCCCTGTTATTGCTAAGGTGATGTTTCAGTGTGCCTTGTGCTGAATTTCTATTGTACATGCCAATATGTCTGGTGTTGTTTAAATTTAGATTGCTATTGCAATAACTGAACTTTTCACGGTGCTCAAATATTCTACAATCTTCATTTATGATGATAGTGGATATATTTTCCGCCTTACATAAATAGTGTGATTCTCCCTCTATAAGGAATTCAAAGGTTTGAAAATGGTCAGGCCTTCAATTAAATGAAGGAAATGTTGTGCTACTTCCAGAAATAGTAAAATGGTGATTTGCATGACATCAGATGTATAAAACCGTGTTATTGCTTTCCAATATCAGAATGCAGCTGGCTAAAATAAATTTTTGCAGCAACTGGAAGCACTTCCCTTTAGTATTCCTGGCATTGAAGACTTCTCTGTGCAATTTCTATGATGTTATTTTCTTGAGAGGGGAGAGGGGCATTTCGGTCTTTTTTCTCTAGCAATTTCTAACATCAATTTTGCCATTTCCAACTTCTAACACATGCCTCTCTTTTTCGATTAAGTTTTATTACTTAAGAAAAATGGCATGATGGACACATTTTTGGTTATTCAGGAAGCTATCGTTATTTCTTTTCTGGAAACATCACGAAAATTTTGTAGTTAATTGTAATTTTTGAGTCGCATATTGTACATAAAAAATGTTCATTCTGTATTTCAAGCGTAATAAAATCTTTATGGTTTGAACTTTGAAGTACATATGAAACAAAGACAAACTCTATGTGTTGCATTTGTCAAAGAATGTTAAAAAAGAACATGTAAAAAAAAAGAACAGAAAAAAAAAAAACAAAAACAAAAAAGAAAATGTGATACTTGCTTGGCCTCCATTAGGTACCCTATAAAACAAATTACCCACATTCTTCTAGGAGAAAATAACTGAGTGGGATATTTGGTGATTTATTCTAGAAATGGAGAACTTTTTCTTCTTTGTGACCCGCATGAGTTAATGATGAATTTTGAATGCAAAACTATTAACATAATATCAGTAAGATCATGCGTTTTTGATTGATGTAAGGGCTGTGGAATCAATTTATTTGTTCCTCAGTGCGATTGTCCATCTTGGCCATCACCAGGGGACAACTTGGAAATTGCTAAAAGGCTGTATCATGTTGTGCGACAGTGGGATTTAATGATGCAGAGAACTTAGTCCTGTAATAACAGGGCAAATTGTTTAAATAAGTTTCCCTCTTATCAATATATTGCCATCTCTTTGTCCATTTCAGGCTATGGTTGAGGTTGCAAAAGAGGTTGGAGCAGATGCTGTTTCTCATGGATGCACTGGGAAGGGCAATGACCAGGTATGGCACTTAATTTTATATCAAGCTTAGAACTCTAATGATCACTTTATATCTCGTTATAATTTTTTTGACAATGATATATGTAATTTTGCATGTTGTGCATGTTTATCTGTGTCTGAACTGTGTGGTATGTGTAAATGAAGGTGCGATTTGAGCTAACGTTCTTTGCATTAAACCCCCAACTCCATGTGGTTGCACCTTGGCGTGAGTGGGACATCAAAGGGAGAGAAGATGCTATTGAATATGCGAAGAAGCACAATGTTACAGTTCCTGTGACGAAGAAATCTATCTACAGCAGAGACCGTAACCTTTGGCACCTTAGCCATGAGGTAATTCTGTTTCCTGACTTCCTCCATTTTTTTCCTTGTCTTTAAGGAATTCCTGTTAAATCCGGATTCTTAAAATCAAAAAGATAAATGAAACTTTTCTTGGAGCGACTAAAAATGTCATTCAACATGTGGCAAGTACATCATGTTACATGACACTTTGCTAATCAGATGTATTGAGACCACATAAGAGAGAGCCATTTTTCAGAGATCAAGACCATTGGATAATCAAGTCTCTTATCCTCTGTCATGACAGAATGCTATGCCCAACTCTCTAAAGATTTTGTCATTCTTCCTGCCCCTTGTTTTGTAGACCCTTGAACGCCATGGACCAGTTAGCAGCCTGCTAGTCACTTGAGCTAGTAGGAGCCTGCTAGTAGCTTAGCTAGTCTTAGGCGTAAGTCAGGTAGGAGCCCGCTAGTAGCTTTAGCTAGTCTTAGGCGTACTGAATGGGTTTGTATGAGAAGAAATTCCCAACTCCAACAGGAACGGAATGGGCCTGCTCGACCCGAAGCTCCTCCAGCGAGATTTCCCCCTTGCTCCTCAAGGGAGGTTTGACTCTTGTTCCTGAACTCGTCGCGTCTGGGATATCACACGTCTAGATACCTCAAAAGTTTTGAAGAGGTCAAATCTCAGTAATTTGTGGGTGATCTTTTTATTTTTTCCAATTAAATTACTCGTGTCTAGATTTACTAAGAAAGCTTTCAGTTTGATTGTAAAGTTTCCGTGTGAATTGCGAATCTCATGTAATTGTCATATCAGATCCTTAATGTTGAACAATGTTGTTTCTTCGCGCAGTTTGTGTATGCTATTTTTGTATTGTAACTTTGTACAAGCATTTGTTTGCTTATATATATGTGATTGCATGTCATAACAGCATTTAAAATTGAAAATATCCTATTCTCTTTATTTCAAGTATGGTTCTAGATAGTGGGTGCTTACCATGATCTGCTGTCAGAGAACTTGTTAAGAAAATTAGAGCAAAGTTGAATGAGAGCTGGAAATCTGTGAACTTGTTCTGATCATGGCTTTTGTTGTTCTGTCAATTTGAAGGGGGACATTCTGGAGGACCCAGCTAACGAACCAAGTAAGAATATGTATATGATGAGTACTGATCCTGAAGATGCCCCTAACAAGCCAGAGTAAGTCACTCTTTCTCTTTTCATTTGCGAATTCAGATATCCAAAAATTTTCATCATCTTGTCGTGCATTTGAGTGTCTTTGCATATGTGTGTGTGTGTGAGAGCGAGAGAGAGAGAGCTCAATGTTGTGATGGGTTTTTAACATGTGTTACTGTTGCGATAAGTATGCCATAATCTATTGGCCTCTGGAAGAACCACAGGCCTTGGGTTCATCACCTTTCAAAGAAGTGGGCAGTGATGGCGATAGAGTGGTATTTGCAAGAATAATACATGAGCCTATTGGTGTGTTCCCTCTCCACAATCATCCATCATTCACATCGATGCTATATCCTAAGGCCTATGCCTTTTCACAGACCTTAGGGTTAAAGTATACTATCCTTTATCCCTTCATCACCCTCCGTCATTTCATGTAAGCCATTGTACCTCATGGCGGCATAGGTTCTCCATTGTCCATCCTTTACCCGGATTGTCTATAAAGAGACCACTTTTTTTTTGTACATGGAGATCAAATCATTCTCACTCATTATATGTCAAATTGGATGGCTTGGGATGCGTCACGAAGCCCGAGAATTTTTTTTTGATACTTTGTGTCTATTCAATGTCACTCTTACAACCACCCATTTTGAAATTTAAGGGACAAAAATGATTGTGACCTCCATGTTCAAAAGATAAATGGTCTCTTTGTAGACAATCCCATACTTCCCCTTATCATGAAGAATTGATTTCAATTTGTTCTCACCTCCTCTTGCCACTCTCAGATACATAGAGGTCGGCATAGTCGCTGGGCTACCAGTATCAGTAAATGGGGAGAAGCTATCTCCTGCTACGCTTCTCGCAAGACTCAATGAGTTCGGAGGCCGTCATGGAATTGGTCGAATTGACATGGTCGAGAACCGACTGGTGGGTATGAAGAGCCGAGGTGTGTACGAAACACCAGGTGGCACAATCCTATTTGCTGCCACCAGGGAGCTTGAAACCCTAACTCTAGATCGAGAGTCTATGCAAGCGAAAGATGCTCTTGCCCTTAAGTATGCCGAGCTCGTTTATGCAGGTCGGTGGTTTGACCCATTGAGAGAAAGTATGGATGCTTTTATGGAAAAGATATCCGAGAACACAACCGGATCGGTGGTGCTTAAGCTATACAAAGGGTCAGTTAATGTAGCAGGTTTGAAGAGTGAGAAGAGCTTGTATCGACAGGACATATCATCATTTGAGACGGGGGATATCTATGATCAGGCAGATGCAAAGGGCTTTATTAGGTTGTATGGGCTCCCAACCAGGGTGCGAGCAATGCTTGAGAGGGGGCTCTGAGGGGCTTTTTGAGGGGTTTGGGACTTGCTAGGGTCTCTTTTTCTCTCTCTCTCTCTCTCTGTCTATCAATCCATGGGTTTCTCTTGTTGCGGATTATGAGTAAGCAGTTTTTCGATGTCATGAAATTTTTGGCTTTTGGTGATTATTTATGTGTAACATTTGGCTGAAAATTTTGGATTCTTAGATGGACTCTATCTCTCGCACACACACACCATGTGTCTGGTGTGTATTTGTGAATGCAGTGAGTGGGAAAGTAAAATTTTATTGGGAAGATTGGACATAAAATATATGTTTTCTGTTCTCAGCCATTCGGTCTAAATGAATTATTGGAATACCTATTGTTATTTTTAACCCAACCCTCCACCCCTTTCCCTTCTTTTTTTGGTTTGTTACAAATTTGGTATGCGTGAATTTGAGGTGTTCCCATCGCACGCCTTAATGGGAGGAAAATATATATTTATGAAAAATAGCTGTAATGCCCCTGCAACTTTTTCATCAAAGTTTTTTATTTTATTTTATTTTTTTAAAATTTTTTTCATGTGTGCCCCTATGAGAGATGTGCACGCTTCAAATTTCACTTTGAAGTGATTTATAAACTGAATATGGAAATTGAGATACTCGAGTTATCCAATCGATATCAGACATTCATAAACTTAGGGTATTATGCATGAACTTGTCCCAATTATTCATTTATGTTAGGTGGATGAAAGCATGAATTATATGTACTTCAGAGGGGGTGATGCAGCATGTAAAGTTTTTCCAATTTTATTTTGCATGAAGTTCTCATTGTATCCGCGTAGGAGCCTAACAACAATTTTTCAGCCTCTTATTTTCTCACCCACAAACCCCTAGTCAAGTGGCTTCAAAGTTCTTTGGATGTTAAAGAGGAAGCCCTGAATCACCCTTGAATTAATGGATTTGATTTTTTTCATTCTTGATTAGATCATCATTGTCATCAAAGCTTTTTCCTAACTAATTCGGATCTGCTGGTTAGATCAAATCCCTAAACCCATGATTTGACAAAAGCATGCAAGCCAACTTCATTTAGGGCTTACCCCAATTTATGTAGGCGAATCCCTTCCTCAACAATAACATAAACCACTCTTCTCCCCCTCCCTAAGAACTGGCAAAATTTGAGGTTTTTCCTGAGGCTCTTGAAACCGTCAGTATCACCAATAATCCATACAAGAACATGTACCCCTGATGAAATGGTGGAAGCGGCTTCGATCTCTTACGATCATTCTACAGTTATATATCTTTGTGATAAGCTTTGTCACAGAGTGACAATCGGTGCACACTCTTAGGTTCTTTATGATACGAATTGCCTCAAGTACTCATCAGGCCAAATGCAATGGCCAAACTCTCACTATGAACACTGAAATTCTCCTCTTTCTACTCTCCTATATCATACAACATAAATGATGTGTTTGTGAGATGACCCTCAAGCTTCAACTTTCTCCCAATCTCATCTAACATCTCATAGACACTATTGCTTTGAGGATGTGACTTAACAGCAACTAAGAACTTATGGGACTCTGTTTTTCCCCTCAATGAGGTTGTAGCCAACCACTTTTGCCACCCCATTTGCCCTCATCATCCCCCTCTTGATGCATAGATATTACAGACAGAGAGACATAATCACCAGAATGAGTACGCTCTAGCTCAAGTATGTCCCTAACTAGGCCTCTACCTAGCTAAACATTGCCATGCACCTTGCAAGGCCCCAACAGGGCTCGAAGAATGATAGCATTTCGCTCCAAAGGAATGGTCTCTATCAAATTTAAGGCTTCTTCTAAGAAACCGGCTTGATTGAGAAGAACCACCATGCACCCATAGTGCTCAATTTCGGGTTCAACCTTCATTCTTGAGAATATGTCCTTCCCTTCATGCACCAAACCTGTGTGGCTGCAAGCACGTAGTATAGACACAAATGTGATAGCATCAGGCTTAATACAATCATTTTTTATTAATCAGATGCATTATTTTTGGGACTCAAAATATTTGTTTTTCTAAATTCATAATCTCGATGTCAAGATAATCAATTAGAGAGTTTTTCAAAATTAAAACAACCTTTTCCAATGGATTTTTGGAATGCATCTTTGATTCTACATTTTAAAGTCGCAACCTTATATAAACTTTTTCCAAAAGGAAATTCATGATGTTTTGCAGTCAAAAGTTGAGGAAGTTGGATGCTGATTTACGTTCTTAAACGTGGAAAGATTAAGCATCCATGGAGCTCTTGATGTGATCTATTGAAGTAATTAGAAGCAATTTAAGCTGAAAAATACGGTTGATCATTTGCTTCAACAAGGGTGTCATATGATTCATATGACATGAGCTTATCATTTTTACACTCCTAGTTCTAGAAAAATGAAAGAAATGTGACTTTTGATGTGCACTTTTAGGGGCACTATAGTCATTGGGGTACTTTCATAACTTATATACTAGGGTATTTCGGTCATTCCCTTTAAACACAGTGGGTTTTATGCCATTTATTTCAAACTTGCTGTCGAGTTGGCCGGAATTAGGGGCCAAGCGAATCTTCCGAAGAAACTCAAGAATCGCCCTAATTGGATCGGAATCACAGCCAGGCAATTCCTTGTCTAGAAACTCAAGATCGTCTCAATCATTCATGTTTAAAAGTTATCCAATTGTGACTTGGACTCACTCGAATCAGACAATTGGACTAGTGCTCGGACCTTTAGTGAGTCAAATTCCAAGTCTTTTTGGATTAATTTTTTTTTTTTGGGGCAATTTAGTAGGGATGGGTTCCACTACTTATGATCGAAATAAAATTCAAAGCGTCATATTATGGCGACCCATCATCGTGACCACCATACCTTTAGCTCATTCCTGCTCTTTTTGAACTATGAAAATACAACATCCTAAGTTGACTCTTTTTTTATTGCTCTCAAAAAAAAAAAACATCTTAAGTCAGCTTTTTGTAAGCTCCATGTATAAAAGGTAATGGTCATCATATACAACCCCCTATGAGAAAAGCACTGCGATCAATTGTAAAGCTTCATGTAATTTTGAGCTAATAATTCGCACGTTTGTTTCATGTGAAAATGTTTCGAAAAATATTTAAACATGAAAGAATTCCCCCCATGCGGTCACCTATGAAAATATTTCATACCAATTGATACCGCAACTTTTCATACCAATAAAATGTGAAAATATTTTCACAGCTAATCACATGAGATAATCTTTTTCACGTGAAAATAAACAAATGTTAACCAAACGTGCCCTAAAGCTATCTATCTATTTATTTTCTTGATAATGCCCTAATTTCCCAATAAATGTTCAACTACAAGGTAGTGCAATAAATTAATAAAAATAGGTGCTATTTCAAATAATAAATGTTTGCATTTATCCGCTGAAACGTGGCAAAATTTAATAGGAATGAACGTTTGAAAAGAGAAATTATTGCATTTACCGGCTTGGCAAAAATTAATAGAACGAACGTTTGAAAAGAGAAATTGATGAACTCACCCTCCATTACTTGCATTCGAAGGACCTTTTTTATTTTGAAAAAAGTTTATATAAGGATGCTATCTTATAATGTAGAGCTACGGATGCCCCTCAAAAATCTATCGAAAAAAGTAGTTTTAATGTTGAAAAACCCTTTGAGTGATCATCTCGACATCGAGATGTATGACTATGAAAAATAAAAAGATTTTTCAGTCTCAGAAATAATGCATTTTATAACATATTATCTATACCGCCCATTTTCAAGATTTTCATATGTTTTTTGATCTACTTGATTTTAACTATTTTTTAAATTTAAAATTTTATAATTAGATATAAAAATAGATTTTAAGATAATCCTAAAAACATTTTACATAAAAATTATATACCATGATAAAATTTGAAGGTACACCTTACCTCTACACCTACGAATGCATCCATATGCAAACTGCACCTTTAAAAAAAAAATCTCGTGTAAGTTAAATTTTACACAACTTTCATTTTTTCATTTTTTTTATATTTTAGACGACTTTCACTTTTTCATTTTTTTCATATTTTAGACAACTTTAACTTTTTTATTTTTTTAATTCTCATTTTAGCCCCTCGGTTTGGATATCCAATGTCCAAATCAACCTCTCTTTTTCTTTTCTTTTTTCCTTGAAGCTAGAAAGTAAATTGGACATTGAAGGCCAAAAAACAATGACTTTTGGGCTGTACCGATATCCAACGTACGTGATACCCCCGCTTTTCTTTAGTTTCATTAGCCTAAATGAGAGGGGCGGATATTGAATGTCCAAACCGTTCACACTCGATAGAAAACTGCCCAAACATTTCCTTCATTTGTAACATTAGATGTTGGTTATTTGATTTTGATTGGACAGTTGAGAACATGTATTATATTTAAATTTATTTTTTTTGGTATAATTGGATTAAGCTCAAGTTTTTGGAGTCCATAAATAATTCAATAAAAATAAAATCAGCAAAAATAGCTATTTTGGTCATTGTATTTTCATGAATTATTTATTTTGTACTTTTTTGTAAGTGTTGGATAGTGAGAAGTATAAGATGCTCAAAACTTAGCTTAATCCAAATATGTAAACAATAAAATCAATGTCCAATATACATCTTCAACCTTCCAATCAAGATTGAATTTCTCTTTTTTGAGTGGCTCTTTTGAGTTAAAAAAGTAAACGTGTGGGCAATTGGGCCAATCACTCCCTTTCGGGCCAAAAATATAGAACTGTAGGTACTTCAAACATCCCATATTTGTCTTTTGTTTTATAGCCCAAAAGGAGCTGAACCCCTTTTCTTTTCTTTTCTTCTTCTTTTTTTCTTTTTTTCTTTCTTTCTTTCTTTCTTTCTTTCTTTTCTTTTTTTTTTTTTTTTTTTTGGGTTGCGGTGGGGAAAAGAAAAAGACAAATGGTGGGCAATTCAGACATTAGATGTCTGAACTGTGGACATTTTAATGTTTTTAGTGATATAACAGTGGAGACATTAGATGTCAGGTGCCCAACTACAAAAGATAAAAACAGCCCGGGCATCCAATGTCCAAACCACTTTCCAACTCAAAGCCAAAAAGACAAAAAGAAAAAGAAAGAGCAATCAGATATCAATCAGATATCTAAACTAGGGTTAAAATGAGAAATAAAAAAATCCCCAAAAAGTGGAACTTGAACACAAAATAGGAATTTTTCTCAACGGTGCAGTTTACATACACATCCGTAGCTGTAGAGGCAAGGTGCACCTTCAAATTTTATAATGGTATATAATTTTGATGTAAAATGTTCTTAGAATTATCTCAAAATCTATTTTTATATCTAATTATGAAATTTTAAATTTAAAAAATAGTTAAAATCAAGTAAATCTATAACTTATGAAAATCTTAAAAATAGATGGTGTAGATAATATGCTATAAAATGCACTATTTCTGAAACTTAAAATCTTTTTATTTTTCTTGGTCATACATCTCGCTGTCAAGATGATCAATCAAAAGGTTTTTCAACATTAAAACTACTTTTTCCGATGGATTTTTGAAGTGCATCCGTAATTCTACATTATAAGGATGCATCCTTATACAAACTTTTTCCTTTTCTAAATTCCCGTATTTAATAGGGATTTTTTCTTTGGATTTTCAAAGAATCAAAGAAATATATTTTTAGCTAGTTTTGTGCGTATTTTGCCAAAAGTTAGAACAAATTACTTGTCAAGATTTGCAAAAAGTTTGAACATTTTACTTTTCAAGATTTTTGAGCTAACTTTGTGCACATTGTAGCTTTGCCTCATCCAATAGTAGTACATATCCCTCCGTTAGTGCAACCGTAACTCAACTGTTGCACCATTTCAAGATTCAGTAGCAGATAATTGAGAGAGAGAGAGAGAGAGACCGTGGCTCCAAATCATCATTTAAGGCTCAGCAGTAGCTAATCGAATATCTATAGATCGGCTTCAAATAGATGATAGCAATTGGAAAATATAGATGGGCTTTCAAATAGACGACATTGTGTACACACGAGGCAAACAATAGATCAATTATATCAAACATCAATCAGCATGGTTTCCAAACATTGAAGTAAATGCGAGTTAGCATAAGAACAAGTTGTTCCTCTCATATTGACAATGGGGTTAATAAGCTACCAACTTAGATTCTGATCAGAAGAGAAATTCAACCCCAATAGATAAAACATGTAGGGTGATTGAACTGCCAGACGAGCTGGATACTAAAAGCAATACGAACCACCGTTCAACCTGAGTCAGTGTGCATGAGGTTCCTCCCACAAAAAATATTCCTGCAATTCACACAGGCATCAAAGTGAGGGTATTAGAATCAGGATCTGATATTCACTTGGCTTTGCCAACTAAAGCTAATCAGATGTCAGGCTCTGAAGTATGTAAATGTCTCGGGAAAGGTTTGATATAAAAACCATTCATATATTTTACTATTTATGAAAAGACATCATAAAGTTGCCCGAAAATTTTGAAAATTTAGGACATGTCTAAAATGGGAGAAAATGAAACTGTAACAAAGTTTTCTCTAAAATGAGAAAGCATTATTTATGACCAAAGAAAAAAGAAATAGAAGCTTGCTAACCACTAAAAATAACAAATCCCGATCTTAGTAACTATTCAGCACTAGTCAAGAGAATTCAAAAGCCATTAGCAAACAATAACTACAGGATAGCCTACCATATGTATGATTAGTCAAAATCAGTAGTTGATGAAAGTCAAATGTTAAATATCAACTTTGTCGGGATCGGCTAAAATATCATGGAATTCATTAGCCACAACGCTAGAGCATAAACCAAACAATAGGGACGATAAGTATTGCTCCCATTAATTTTAGGGAACATTATCTGATTAAAAAACAAGGCTCTTGCATCAAACTAGATTGATCCAAATATAGAAAACAAAGATAGTATATGAAGATATCCTAAACAAATTAGGAATAAATTTAATATTTAAATCCTACATTTGTTGCAGATAATACAAAGTAAGAAGAAAATCAAGTCCATTTCCCAAATAATTTATTTCAATAGAAATGGCAACCAAGTAATATTGACTCAACATCAGATTCAATAGCAGCATATTTTATCGCTCACAATTCAATGTCTTAACAGCGTAGTAAGCTCGCTAGTAGTTCTTGCAGGCATAAGCATGTGATTTGGTAGTAGAAAAAGTCAAGCCTCAGAGAACTTGCCGCTCTTGACCTGGCCAGATAGAATTGGCTACCAACCTCAACTTCTTTTCGACCATGAGATGCATTAGCTGCCCACATCTTTTCCATCAGATTCCATGACATTAATGGACATGGCTCAACATTACCTCGCACCCTCGCTAGGTTAGTGATTGATACTGCCACACCTCTTTCACAGAAAAGACACATTTGACCTTATCCTTCTTACTTGCTTTCACCCTAACCCCGCACTCCATGCAGGATCCTCTTTTCACTAACATACTTCGAGGAGACTACTACAGAAGTAGACTATCCTGAACCTACACATAGAAAGGCAAAAAAAAAAACAGCATTCCAATGTCCAAAAAATTGCCCATCCCCCAAATTTATGCTAATTATTGGGGAATGAGAAAGAATTTTAAGGCGTAAAACATTTGGGAATGCAACCAAGTGGGGATTTTCATCCCTAAATGCATCAAACACCGAAAGACAAAAAAAAAAAAGAAAAAAGAAAAAAAGAAAAGAAAAGGATAACGTATTTAAATGCCTCAAAAATTGGAGAAGCTCAATTTCTCGGGGGAGAAATTTTTGTTTCAACCAAAACTGAACTTGTATGGGGATTTGAAGTCTTAAAACCTTCAAACACCGAAAAATATGAAACAAAAATACCATGAAGAATTTTCTTTGATAAAGAAAAGGAAAACTATAAAATATTGAATACAATGGGTGGAAAAACTAAAAAGTAGGAAAAGAAGTCCTGAAAACTCATATATATTCATAAGAAATCAAGAAAAAATTAAGGACAGCTATTTAGAATACAAAAGAGTAACGGTAACAAGCATTCCATGCTAAAATCAGAAAAATAACATTTTCCTTGTTTTCGACTAAAACTTTAAAATAAAATTCAAAATTAAGAGAAAAAAGGAAAAAAAACACGATCTAGCTATTGATCAATAAATAAAAGCTGGATTTAGCTGAAATGTGGACTGGATCTATGCAAATCCAAATTATTTTGAAGGAACCAGAAATGTTTACAGTTTAAGAGAAAAAAAATCAACTTTGAGATGCAACGAATCAAATTTGCTGTAATTAAAGAATTCTTCCAAATGTGCAAAATTGTTTATGGATCTAATAAAGCAGCCAAAATGGAACCTAGGGCTGCCACCGAATGGGCCAATGATCAAAGCTATAGGTTTCTTTTTCTAGAGAACAAGTAAAAAATGGAAACAGTTGGACTCATCGAATCCTGATCGACTCAGCAAAGACTCAGGAACCGGCCAAGCCCAACTGCAAAACTGGCCGGTTCAACATTCTACAGAGTCAGCACCCTCCAATTTCAAGTGACTCAGGCGATTTTGTGCTCGAACCATTAATTTTTTATCGCTTCAGCTTATAGAATCTTTATCATATATACATGAGTGTGTGTGTGTGTGGGGGTGGGGGACAGAGATTCTTCCAATGACAAAAAAATCATTGGTCAAATCCTCATCCATACACGTTCAATTTGGTTGAAACAATGTTTTTAGGGCAAGCTTTCTATGCTTCACAATGTCACGTCTCTAAACTATTTTATTTTTAACTTTTTTATACAAATTATTTGAACACCAAATTTTGTACGTCCAATCCTCTATTAAACTTGCACTAGCGAAAAATACAAAAAAATTATTTTCAATAAAATAAAATGACCAAAATACCCTTTAAATTTTCAAGGGGTATTTTGGTCATTATATTTTATCGAAAAATTATTTTTAATACTTTTTATAGGTGCGCCCCAATGAGAAGATAGCACG